CTTGCACGGGAGAAGCCCGTTGGGATACTTCTTAATCCCTAAGTTCAAAGTTCTCGATGCTAAGTATTACTGATGGACATGACTGAGCTTACCTGAGTTAGCGTTATTGCGCTATATGTTGATCATATTGCATGTTGCTAATCCCTGCCGGGATTAGGAACTTGAGCTTGAGATGTGGCTCAGAAGACACCATGCAAAAGATGGACTGCAAGAGCTTCCCAAAGATAGACTTGTATGCCGATTTTGACCTGATGATGATGAAGTGGATTGAGTGGCATTTGTCAAGTAAAATTTCCAACAAAAGGGAGATTTTTCGTTTCTTCGACCCTTTCTGGTATATTATCAAAATTTTATAATTGCTCAAAGATGGGTTTGAAGCCTTTCCTTGTCAGTCCCAGGTTGAGGAAAGTGGAGTAGGACAAGATGTAAACAGAGCTGTCATTGTCAATCAAGATTCTCTTCACATTGTAGCAGGGTTTGCCAATTTTTGCGTTGATGACGAGAGGGTCTTGTTGGGGGGACTTGGACTCCTTCCCGGTCAGAATCATCGAAAGTGATGGGCTTGAATTGTTGTTTTTTCTATGCTGGTTTTTCAGGTGCAATGATAAGGATTTGGTCAAACATCAATGGGTCTTCGACAATTGTTTGAATTTCATCTACAACTTGGAGAATCACATGTTGTTGCTGTTATGTCAGTTGCCCCCCAGTGGGAGCATTATCGGTACTAGTTGGTTTTTTTTGCACAAATTGATCAAGATATTCCTGTCTAACCAACTTTTCAATTTCTTCCTTGAGCTACTTACATGCCTCGGACATCAATGACAATATTGCTCTTGATTCCCTAAGTTATGTTTTAGGGGATGAGACCACTTAACAGTTTCTTCATCATTGATGGCCATCAAGATGTTAACACTCAATGTGCTGAGTAGTGTATACTCTTTCTTGTGACGATGCTCATTCTGTTGGTTTGTATGTTGAGAAGGAGGTCACGATTACCTTGCTATTCAAGCTGTCTCCTCAATGAGGATTGATTGACATCTCCGACATTAGTTTTGTGCTTTCTCTCAAATTGCTCCTTGTGTACGCTGATGGCCTTGTCCATAATCATTTGGGTCTAGACACGATGGACAAAGTCGGCGTAAGTGTAGACTGAATCTCAAATCAGCGACGAGTAGAAAGGTCTTGGGAGGAGCCCTTCAATGAAAACCCTCAACAACTCTGGATCCACTCCTGGAATCTGACAGTCTTCGGTGGAGAATCTGCGGAAGTAATCCTTGAGCGGCTCACTCTCATTTTGGCGAATTCGCGAGAGATGAGATTAATTATTGATGATATATCTTTTTGCCATGAAATGCTCCATGAATAGTCCGATAAGCTCGTTAAATGTGTTGATAGTGTCCCCACGTAAATGAGTAGAACTTGATGCAAGCTTGACCCTTGAGTTGCCTGAAATAATTGACATAGACGTGAACAAATGCATGTTGAATTTGTGATGGTTCGATAGTGGTTAACATGCTCATAGGGGTCAGTTATTCCATTGTATGTGTCGATGTTCGACAACATAAAGCCAGTGAGATAGGTCGTTGGAGAACTTCCTCTGTTAAAGGAGAAGATTTTTGAAAGTTATGACGAGCGGGGAAGCAATTCCTATTCTCTAGAGGGAACTCTTATCAAACCAGGCGTCGTAGCTCATGGTAAATGACATCCTCAAGAACGACAGAAAGGTGGATCGATGCTAGGTGAGCTGCACGAGTCAGATGAGTAAAACTTGCATTATCAAGAAGGTCAGTATCACGATCAGACATGGGAAAGGCTCCCTTGCAGGGAGGGGGCCCGTTACGAGTATTTTCGAACAACGCATTTCCTATTGGCAACTTAAACTAGTGGTAGGTGAGCTCCATTGCGTAGCGGCTATCTATCCTCGCGTAGGAGTTGTAGAATCTTCAGTTGAGACTCCTCCATCATGCATATAATTGGTTTTTCAGGAAGTACCTGAGGCGCCTTCACCAGCAGGGTAAGGCCTTACGAGGTGGGAAGATGCGGAGGCTTGACGCCCTTGGCTCAGTGACTACCCTCTGGAATGATGGGTGTTGGAGTGAGACACTCTGTTATCGTGAGTGTTGCGTCTGTCGACCATGCAATAAGCCTCACATGTGTTTTAGTGGTGAGAATTTTTTTCTTATAAAAGGCGTCAAAATGATCCGTGCTAGAAAATTTGCGGCAGTTGAGTCATAGGTTATCGTCTTAGTGTTATACGAGAATTCAACACTCACTCAAATGAAAGTAAATAATCAATAGAAATACCAGAAGTTTTTACGTGGAAAAACTGTAAAGAAAAAAACTACGAGGTCTGGCCTAACTGAATAGATCCACTATAAATTGGAGATTGCATGTACATTTCCTTATTCTATAGGTGGGAAAAGGGTTACATAATATTTCTAATTAGAGAGTCGGTGCACAGATAAACTTGTCGTAAGGAATGAGTGACGAACGATAGTGTCAGTGACGGCTGACAAGTGGTGGTCGGTGGTGGTTGGAGGCCGTCGACGGTTGCAAAAGTGATGCTGGTCTTCAGCTCCTGTAAGTTTCAAGTTTTTCTTCAGGCTTCAAACTTTCTCCTCTTTTAAGAGAAGGTTATGACTCTATTTATAGAATCCCGGTCGCAATTAATGAAGTATTATGACCGACTCTGATAGGACGACCCAAATAAATTTGCTCGAGCAGAAAACGTTTGATGGAAATTTAAGTGCCTTAATGATGTTATAATTGAGTGATTGTATGCTCCTTAGATTTATCTTGTCAAGACGCTCAATTCGACTATGAGGTCCGTTCAGCCTTCCAAATATGCTCAGAAAGTTTCTAAAAGTTATTTATTGTCTTGATCTAAAGCTTGATTTGACTTAAATTAGACTAATTTTAGTGTCATTGGGTTCGTCTCGTTGAGTCAGTCAATTTGAATATAAGTTTGTTGAAATTTGAGTTCTGAATGACTTTTAATTAAAGTTTAAATGCTCCTCATTGAAAAAATCACCCCGAGATACGCGTCATGCCTCGAAATTCTCGTATGATGATAGGAATTTGTTGATGGCGTACCAATTGCTCTTTATTTTCGGGAGTGACCAACTTTATCGTCTGAAAATATCAAGAGCTAGAGTTATATATATATATATATATATATATATAAACACATATTTATCATGAGGGGGAGATCGTCTGAAAATATCAAGAGCTAGAGTTATATATATATATATATATATATATATAAACACATCTTTATCATGAGGTGGAGCCAGAAGAGACGGCGGGATTTATTATGTAAATGTTAATTATATCTTGTACGCATAGTTTATTCTCGAAAAAAAAAAGTCTTTTCATTACTGTAAGCACAACACACTACAATCCAAATTGCTATGAACAATTTTGGCTTTCTTATTTGTTTTGAAATTAACTGTGGATCATAATTATCTGGCAACTAAAAATTTTTGAAGTCTTTGAAGTACGTAGAGATAATGATATGATCGTACATTAAAAATATTTTTGTTTGTATCTTCCGTGGATCGATGGGCTCAGAGCGGAAGGCACGCCACCAGACAAAGTTCTACGGGAATAAACAAATGCATTTAGGGGAAGACCAAGTAACAGTAGTCAACCGGCAAAAAACTGATCGAACAACCGACCATGGCCAACTAACCCAGTGGTCGGCTTACCCAGATGTTGACAAACTCGGAGACTGCTCAGGTAGAGGCCTACCGACAGGAAGACAACCCATCATATATTCATCAATTGCTTGGCATGATGCCCATTGATTGGAGGTCGACTAATTAAAGAGGTTCGGTGGTATAATTGTCATTTCACTGTAATCATGCCGCTTGTAAATAAAGGAGTATTAAATGTAATAAATGTTGTTGAAACCATATAGGAAAATGCCTCACATCTCTGTCATCTCTCTGTGTATATTTTCCTCATGCTTGGCTGTGATTTCTGAACAAATTTGAGTTCAACAATGACATATTATGCCCATGGCATATATATATAAGTAGTCACCACTTGAATTAATTTTGTTGTTATTAGTCAAAGATTAGATACTTAATGATGACAAGCTGTTGAGATAGGAAGAGAGATGACCCTGCTTATGTTTTTAAACTTTAAAATTTAGGTCTAAAGCTTTTGCATTCACTTATATATCCTAAAATTTATTTTTAGGCAATGTCGAGTGGAGTGAAGTTGACAAACGGATTCATGAATATATGATTTTCAGATGACTCATATTTGACTTATTAATTTGTTCTTTCGCGACTAGTTCAATAAGTAATTTAGTCAATTTTCAATATAATTTATAAATTGTGCATGCACAGACATAAAGCGTCCAACTGCTCAGTCTCTTATATTACTATGATTGCATGACTCATGTCACTTAATTGAAGCTATCAGTCTAAAACATATGTAGATGCATGATGCATCTGATGGTCATTAGCTTGCTTATTATTCATTTTTGGCTTGTATTTGTCTTGATAATAAATAATAATAAAACAGTCAATTCATTTTTTTTTTTTGAGCTCTGACGAACTTGACATTAATTTGTGCTTACTTTTTTAATTAGCTAATCTTTTCAAAGAAAATCTTGCTTATTCATGCTCTAATTTTTTGCACCCTTTAATAGCAAGATAAGCTTGGCTATTGATCCAATCAATAAATTGAGCTTGAGTTAGGGTATGGATACTTGGTCGATATGCTCACTTATTACACTTCTAAGCTCATCACTTTTATAGGGATTATGCTTAGCCATAACATGCTATATTATTTTGAGATATATGTTTAACATTAATATTTGTTTTTTTTTTTGAGATAATAATATGCATTGTTTATCATTTAGTTGATTTTTTTTCCATTTTTCTTGGAATCTAATCGCATCTACTATGCTTTATTATCCTTTCAATTGCTCTAAAAATTACCCTAAATGAAAACTTGTGGACTAACTTGGTGGATTTGGTTATTCGCAGTGACTTGTACAATTTTGATTGTTGACGTATATTTGATCTATCCACTGGGGCATATGAAGAATCCTTTATTATTTAAGGTATTATCTTACCTAAATTCAGAATAAATGGCTCTTTAAATGCAGATCTCATCAATGTTGCTTTTTCAGATCTTGATTTTTTAGGATACTGTAACTCTCTTATTTCATGATCGGAAAAAAAGTATAGAAGTCTTCATAGTCCTGCATTCACTTATTATTTTTGTTAAAAGTTGTAATTTTCCCATTGCATGTAATTTATTACATTTTTTTTTTTTACAAAAATGAAATTGCCCTTGTTTGGTATATTATGGGCTTATGCCCTCATCATAAAGTTTGTTATCCTTTGGTTTGATCCTTTGTGCTGGAAAGATATTATTTTTGTTGGAGTAAATTGATTTTATATTTATTTTTTTAATGTAATAAATAAAATTATGATATTGAATTATCTGGTCACTCTGAACTTCATATTTGGGAAAAAACAGCATAAATGTCTTTCTGCTCTAGAAATTTCTTAACTGCTTGTGTTCAAAATTGTAATCTTCCCATGGCAAGAGTGCTATTAATACATTTTTTGTTACCTAAATGAATTTAGCCTTGTTAGGTGTACTATGAGTTTATGCCCTCAAAATGTTTATCATTTTCAGGTTTGATTCTTTGTGTAGGTAAGATATTGTTTCCATTGGTGTAATTAGTTCTATGTCGTAATCTATTTTTTCTCATTTACTGGAGATTGAATTATTTCAAGTGTGAGTTTTTCATTCTTTTATTTAAAAATTGATAAGATGGAGCAGAAGTGTGGAGAAAGAATAAAATAGCTTAAACTAATAGGTATTAAAGGGGGAAGTTTAGCACATACATCAAGGGACCTCCATCTTAATTTTAGCAGTCAAAAGTGCTGAATGGAGTATTTTCCTTAAAAATAATTTTGCATGGCATAAAATTTAAAGTGATGAAATATAAATATACCAAGTGCTGTGGTGCACAAGGGGTGTACAAATAAATGTTTGAAGAATGGATTGACACACTCAAGTGAGTATGGATGCACTTATTGAAGTCAAACTTACATTAAGTAAATAAAGTATAGCAAAAATAGATCAGCACATCCAATTGGATGCAGATTGTAACTACTTAAAAGCGCCTATTGACGGTTGTGAACGAAAATATAAGATCAACACAAATCTAGATGTGTTCTATTGTATTGAAAAGGTTGGTTGATCCAAAAAATCAAAATGTTAGCAATACCAACACATGGGGAATGAGTGAATTAAAGTTAGGACAGTTAGAGTGCAAACTGATGCTAATTAAGCATACAAAGATTTACAGCAATTCAATTTTTTCTCGTGCCAATGCAGCTTCCCAGTAGAATTCCGCTGGCTGCCTTCGCCAACAGTGAAGGCAATTAAGCTTTACAAGCTGACTTCTATTTCTAGCCACTAGAGAAATTAGTTCAAAAGCTTACCTCTCTTTCTAGCCACTACAATGTTTATTTAGAAATGAATCAATCACCAAGTCATCGTTTATATATACTATTTTCACTCACTTTTAAAATAAAGGGAGAGTTACATAGGCATCCCTCAACACAGATTTCCTCATCCTTTGAACACAGAAGATTTTCTAATTTTTCTATTTGGAGGATCAGGGTGAAGTTAATGAGAAAGAATGGACTGGTAAAGTTAATTTATTTAAATATTTTTTAGTGCTATTAAAGTAAATTAAGTATTTCTGGGATTAGCTATGTAAAATACTTTATGAACAAACATATAATTGATCTATTTTTCAACAAAGCGCGCTTATTTCCTTCACTCTTGGTTTCTAATGAAATAATATGAGCCCATGAAAGAATGAATGAACTGAAACAAGAGCGGCCCACTCAGGCTCGCCAATCGGGGCACTGCCAAGCCGGCCGGGTCTTCACCGGGCCAGCTTTAAGAGGGCACTGCGTGTTCACCGGCGGTACCATACAGTTATACTGCAGACACAATGAAGTCGTCACCGGAATGGTCGCCGCCGGTGAGATCTCCATCCCTGTCAAGAAATTGTGCTGCAGGTAAAGAACCTCCATTCCCGCCCTCTCCAGCCTCTCCGCGAACCTCGCCGGAACCTCACCTATGAACCGGTTGTTGTTGAGGTATAATCTCTCCACCCCCGAAAGCAGCGGCGATACAGGCCCGGATAGCCGATTGTAACTCAAATCCACCTCCGCTATTTTAACATCCGCCGCCGGAGCCACCGGGCCGGCGAGCTCGTTACGTTGCAGCAAAAGTGATGACAGCGGGAGGGAAAAAACGCCGCTGGGGATTGGTCCGGTTAGGCGGTTCATACTGAGGTCGAGGTAATCGAGATTCGTGAGCGCCGGGAGGTTGGCATCGATCGGGCCTGAGATTTGGTTTCTGGACGCAGCGAAGTAACGAAGGGAGCGGGGCAGAACGGGGAGTTCGCCGGAAAGATTGTTGTGCTTGAGGTCCAGGCGGAGGAGCTCAGAGGAGGCTGGGAAAGAAGGAATTTTTCCGGAGAGGTGGTTATAGCAGAGGACGACGTTCGAAAGCGCGGGAATGGAGAAAATCGACGGCGGAATATCGCCGGAAAGAAGATTGAAGCTTAAATCGATGGTGCGAAGTAGGCGGAGGGAGGAGAGAGAGGAGGGAATGGGACCGGAGAGGAAGTTTCCGCTGAGGGCGATGAAGCGTAGGGAAGAGCAGAAGGAGAGAGTGTCAGGGATACGGCCGATGACGCGGCCGGGAACGAGAGAGAGCTCTGAGAGAGCAGAGAGGCGGCCAATGGCGGGGTGGAGGTGGCCGGTAAGACCCATTGCGCCGGCACGGGGGTCACCAAGGGCCAGCGCGACGATGCGATCGTCGCGGCAGAAGACGCCGGGGAAACTGCATGGGTCGCTGGTGAAATCCCACCGTGAAAAGAAATCGGAGCCGGGCAAGTCCGATAAAGACTTGCGGATCGATTGGAGGGAAAGGAAATCGAGAGGGTGAAGGATTGATGCCTCCATGGACGCCGAGAGAGAGAAGATAGCTACTAGGAGGAGGAGGAGAGGTGGGCTTGCCGCCGCCATTGGATTTCCCCTGCTTTTCATCAATAGAGCGATCAAACGAGGGCAGCGATTGTGTAGTAAGTAATGTGAATAAAAAAAGAGAATGGCAGTTAGCTACCGCCAATACAGCTTTTCGCTTTCTCGTGTGAAACAGCGTGAGCGCTTTAATGGCGGCGAGAGAGAAAGAGAGAGACAAGAAGAAGAAGAAGAAGCTTCTTCTACCGCAATGTATCTTCTTTAGGAGCTGTGATGCGGGCTATTATTTTGTCTTAAAGATGAAGCCAAGCTTCCTTCCACCAAAAGCTGATAGATTGTTCAATTTCATTGATTGGAAGTATTAGCTTCTGATAATATATATATATATATATATTTATTTCTAACCTTTGTTTTAATTTTTAATTATAAACAACGAGGACAAGTTTTTTATTTAAGAAAACAGAGAATATAATTAACATATAGCTTCCATTTGTCAGAATCTAATTATTTTTGTGTAAATATATATTAAAATAGGGTTGTTTTACATATGTACCCCCCAAATCTTATGAATTAAGATATCTAAATATTTAATAGGAGTTTAAAAATATCATAATTTTAACATCCAAAGAACATCTTTTCATGCATGAGAGCATAGGAATTGAGTGATATGGTTAGAAAGATGAAATTTTGATTTATTTATTTACTGATCTCAGGTGAGTTTACAGTTTACAGAAATGGAGGTGATGGGAGGCTAGCCCAGCTGGGGTAGGACCTGACATGAAATTGGATTCCTTTTTTTCTCTAGGATTCTCTCTCTCTCTCTCTCTCTCTCTCTCTCTCTGCTGATTTTTGTTTTTCAATTTTGGGTGGGAGTGGTTGGGATTCTATTATTATAAGTTTACTTTAACAATTAAAAGGAATCGGGATGGGTAACATAAGTAGCGATGGATCTGAATCTATACCATGAAATTGAGTGGGTTAATTGGTCCCGTCAAGTGCTAACAACAATTACACTTCTTTTAGCACGTGCGTTTCACGTTATAAAGAGGTGCGTGGGCTGGGGAATACCGGAAAGGCAGCTACCACGCGATGGGCCGACCTGAGAGAATTCTTCTTTGGGTAAAGGGCTCTCGGCCCAGATAAGATTGCTAGTGGATTTGAAATACCGGATGGAAGGTTAAATTAGCTGAGCGATGCGATAGTCAAACATTTGGATCAGTTTTCGAGTCATACAAAAATCAGTTCGAACTAACTCATGATAAGCTTGTATTATTTTTTCCTTATAAAAACTATCAATGTTATGCTAAGTAAAATTGAATAAAACGAGTCACGAGCTAATTTCAAGCTGATTTAACTCAATTTGGGCAAGTTAGTTTCAATTTTGAGTCAGATTAAATTGATTCCAAGCTAAAACAAATTCAAATAACTTAACTTCAATCAGCTCGTTTTGATTTAAAGCCCCTCATCTTGATTTTGAGCCATATTGAGCTTGCTTCAATTTTGAGCAGGCCCGGCTCAAAACTCGAATATAATGAGTCATGAGCAATTTTAAATTGTACTAAATTTATTTGAGCTGACCTTAACTCGGCTTAAAATTGGACCGTTGACAACCCTATATGTGATGAGCAACAACCGTGGGACTCAAAACATAAAAAAAAGAGTAATTTACATACATATCAAACAATTTTTATACATTCACTAGAGTAACATCTAAATTTTCATATTTATATTTCTACCACTATAATGTCATAACCTTACATATCAAAAAATTAAAGTTGACTTTTGAGAAGTTAATAATAGAATACTTTTCAAATGATTAAATATTCGAGTTCAATACATGTATATATAAATGTTTAGGTATTAGATATATAGATATATAAAAATAGTGCAGCATGCATGCAACTGCCCCAAATTTATATTAGGTTTATAAATCCCCTTATCTATACACATACTTAGAATAAGTAGAAATATTGTTCAATAAACAGTGAGTTGCATTAGTTTGACATTATGATATGAACTAAATATTACCAAATACACTTAAATAGCCTCTCTCTCTCTCATTGGACCACAGAAAGTGTGAGAGAAGATAATAATCCACTGTATAATAAGGGGGTGGGTAGAAGAGACAGCAACTAAAAGGAAAAAAAGACGAGAAGGAAACAAACAAAAGGAATCAATAAGAGGAGGAAGAGGCAACCAAGTGATCCATAGGAGGAATACTTGTTTAACTTATAAAACCTAATTGCCTTAAATTTTAGCACTTTATCTCTAACTTCGTTCTTATTCACAACCTAAAATTTTGAAGCCTTGGTCGTGCCTGCCAAGCTGTTGTTTTTTTAGTTATTTTACTTGTTGTTGAACTCAAGTTTATTCATAAATCACACCCAAATGTGAGAAGAAGAGAATAATGTACACAGAGGGATGAAATAGATGTGAGATATTTTTCTATATGGTTTCAACAATCATTATTACATTTAATCATCCTGTATTTACAGGGGGTATGATTACTGTGAAATGATGATTATATCACTTAACCTCTTTAATTAGTTGACCTCCAATCAATCAACTTCATATCATGCAGTTGAGGAATATATGATGGGTAGTCTTGTTCTCCGAGTTTGTCTATATTTGGGTAAGCCGATCAAGACCATTGGGTCAGTTGGCCCTTGGTCGGCTGTTCGTTCAGTTTTTGGTCAATTGACTATTTTTATTTGGTTTTCCTCTATAGGGGTGTAAATGAGCCGGACACGGGCGAGCCCACGCTTAACTCGTGTTCGGCCTGTTAAAAAATATTATTGTTCGTGTTCGACTCGTTTATATTTCAAAAAAAAAAAAGTTTGTTTATGCTTGACTCATTTGCTTAATTTGCTTAGCGAGTCAAACAAAAGTTGTTCGCGAATAAAAAATCTATTTGATAACTCTAATCACGAAGCCGTAGACTGTTAAGGGTTGGGGTAGGATTTAAATCTTATTGTTTATATTAAAACATCATTTAAATATAATTTAATATATTTTTATTCAATTTTTTTAATTGATAATTTAAATTGATGTAAATCTTTATATTCTTGTAGTCAACTAAATTTTTTAAAATATCACTCATCAATACAAACAATTGTTTAGCAGTAGATCGAGTCAAAACGAGCTGCACACAAACAAACAAATCTTTGCTCGTGTTCAGCTCGTTTATATATCTAACACAAAAAAAGTGTTCATGTTCGGTTCGTTAACTTACTGAATGAATCAAACACAAACTTCTTAACTAGGCGAACATGAGCTGTTCGTGAACAACAAGCCGTTTTGACAACCCTATTCGTCTGTATGCATTTGTTTATTCCCGTAGAATCTTGTTATGTGACAGTTGTTTCCCTATGAGCCATTCAATTCATAATAGATACGGTCAATGATATCTTTATTGTACGATCATATCATTGATTTTCAATTGTCAGATAATTATGCTTTAAATTTAATTTCAAAACAGATAAGACAACCAAGATTTTTTATAGCAATTTGGATTGCAATTAAATATATACATATATATATATATATATACATTTGTAATTTATATTCTTATGCGTATTTATTTATAGCCTGGAAGAGAATACGCCGTCGGCGACTTTGGAAGAACACACGTTGGTCCGGTAACGTGGATTAATGCAGAAATCAAATGGAATATAGAAAGCATAAAGAAGCTGGTCAATGATAGATGCATGTATATGTATTGCTAGTGGGCGCGTTAGCGTCATCCTCCATCGTCCCTCCCTTCCTTTCCCAAAACGATGAGTCCAAAGGGCAAACTATGGCTTCTTGTGTTGGTAGGATTGCTGGGTTTAGCGGCGGCGAGGCCCCGTTCCATTCTTCTTGACACTGATGTTGACACCGACGATTTCTTCGCTCTATTTTTTCTGCTGAAGCAGAACCGCTCGTTAACCGCTCTGAATTCCATCTCAAGGTTCCATTTTTTTCTTTTTTCTTCCTTAGAATGTATCAGTGTTGGTTTTTTTTTTCTTTTTTTCCCCTGAATAGCATATGCATGGGCGTGAAATATGGTTTGTTGATCTCTTCAGCGAGGTCGCCTCATGAAAATTGTTGCGTTTTGTCTCACACTTTTGTTATGTTATGAGAAGTTTTATATTTTATGCGTCATAACAGCAATAATCCATCAAGCATAGCCTCTTGTTTCTTTGAGAAATATACCTGAAAGTTCATTTTGAACCAAAATGCACTAACAATTTCTATATGCTCGTTGTTTTACTAGGATTGAGTTGAATATTGTCATCAATTTATTTAAGATTTGTTTGTTTAGAACTCTAAGAAGATCACGACGCTGGAGTTTAATTAAAGAAGTCGCTTTAAAACCAACTTGGGGAGTCATTGGCAAGTTTTCTTATTGTTTGAATGATTATGCATACTATTTATCGTTTGATGCAAATGAATTAGGTCAAATTGATTGATTTCTAATGTAAAACTAAATAGTAAATGTTGTGAGATATGTACATAGAAATGAAACACAAAGAACACAAACAAACACAGATCGTTTACGTGGTTCGATCCAACTGGATCTCTGTCCACGGGAGGGAATCAATCAAATAGTTCACTAAGGCAAAAGAAATGGAGAATACATAGCTTATACATAGAGACGAGCCATCATCTTCCTTCTATGGCCTCCCTCTCAAGCGGCATCTTGATACAAGGCCTCAAGTTGCTCTCCTCCTCTCTAGCTCTCTAGCTATTCTCTCATTTTTTGTGGTAGCTTAAGATCTTTTCCCTTGCTCTCCTAAGCCTCATACCCTCTCTATTTATAGAAGCAAGAGAGTGGTAGGTGGGAGATAGGTGAACGGTAGGTGAGATGTGGTAGGTGAGCGGTACCACATTACAAAAGTGCCCTTTTACCTTAGTTAAATAATTGAGGGTCAAAATAACAATTCTTCACCTTGACCCTCAATTGAGAATCTTCGAAGTAAAGATTCCCTCCACCTGACTTTTGAGGGGCCCTCAGCCCTTACTTGAGTTTGCTAAGTCCAAACAGTACATGGACTTAGCAATTACGGTTCTTCCGATAAGAGAGTACAACTCCTTTTTCCTGACTCTTTGTATGACGACACGAGGGGCTTTGGTTACTCTAATGCAGTCATTCTCTGCCTTGAACGAGCATCTGCTTGACTCTAGCGTACCTAAAGAAATCAGATTTCTTTTGAGCTCTAGTACGTACCTGGTATTTTTCAGTACTCGTTCAACTCCATCAAACATCCTTATCCTGATTGATCCACTTCCAACAACCCTGTGAGCTTTATTGTCTCCTAGTAGAACATACC